TTTGAAGATATTGAAAAAGACATAAAAGTAAAAAAGAGGAATCACTTCCAATGACACCTTTCAATGGCCACTGTGAATTCTTCCCTCCCCTCCTCCCTATCAGTCTGATTTCCGCATACCCTGTATGTAGGAACCAGTTTTTGCTGTGGGAATATAAATGGCTAGGCAGAGAGGTGCTGATAAGCCTTTTTTCTTTTCAACTCTTGTGTCAATGGTCAAGCCCGTCCTAAAGGGGCAGAGCCCGAACCTGTAACAATCCCCAGTCTGGAGCAGTGCGACCTCTGCAATGCTTTCCCCCCAGATCCAAATGTCCTTTGAAGAACCCCAGGCTTAAAGGCCTAAGCTTAACACTGGGCTGTGTGGGAGGAGGCAGTCTGAGAAAAACTCTGGATGCCAGCCAGCAAAGGCAAAGAAGTTACCTATGTGGGACTCAAAACTCACTGTTCTACTTTGTTACATAGTTCTCCCTCTTGGGAGAACTTTCATCAAGATAGAAACGTGAAGCCAAAAACATCACTGAGCACTTGGGTGTCGCTCGCGACTGATCCTGCAGTGGCCTGTGTCTCCTGAGAGCCCACCTCCCTCCTGAACCAACTCTTTCTGTTGGGTGAAGGCATACACATCTTTTATTGCTCTGGACACAGTTCTTACTCTCTTGCAGGCTTAGCGGTTGTTTTACAAGCCTGCTCTCCTTATCTTTGTGTGGTTTCTTTCTTGTTTTACTGAAATCATTTGCAAACAAAGTTGAAAGTCTCCCTTACTACCCTGAGGGGTTCTCCAGTATCCTCTTGCCTCCCTTCACCCCATTCACAGTTCCAGGAGAATCTGGCAGGTGTCGAGGGCCATGACCCCAGCCCAGTGCAGCCCAGCCCAGCACCTCCCTCACCCAGGCCTGGGGGAGAGGGTGCGCTCCTCATCTCTCTGCCTTTCCTTCCTTGTCTCAAAAGGCCATTGGGGAGTTCATTTTGGTGGACAAGGATGTGAAGATCAAAAAGAAAGGTAAAATCTACAGCCTTAACGAGGGCTACGCCAAGGACTTCGACCCTGCTGTCACTGAGTATGTCCAGAGGAAGAAGTTCCCCCCAGTAAGTGAGGGCCTAGGGAGGGTGGTGCTGGGTCTGGGCATCTGGCACCAGGGGCCATTCTGGAGGCAGGGGCATCCCCCCGAGATGAAAGCCATCCTTGGGATCGAGGGCCTTGGACCTCATGTGTGGATCCTGAGAAGTGTGGAAATCTGTTGGTTGATGATTTACCCTGGAGAGGAAAGGAAGCAGGGATGGAGTAGACTGGGCTTCCGTCTACACTGAGCCCATGATGCAGTCCTCACCTTAGTACTGGGGACTGGAATTCTTGCCTTGAGACATCAAAATCAGAGTCTCCATTTCAGCCTTTGCTACTTTCTCTTGGCAGAAGGAAATTAGTATAATAAAGTTAATCAAATGAATGAATCATGGCAACAAAACATCTTCCCTTCTGGGGTCCATGGTCCCAGATGGCACGGAATGTGGCTCCCCCACCCAAATGCTTGCCGAGTGGTGTCTACCCCTCACCGGGCCTGCCTGAGGTGCATCTGTCAATCATCTCATCACCGAGAATGCCCATTGTGGCATCTCCCTAAAAAGGCTACAAGCTGGTGAACATGAAGAGAAGAAATGACTGAGTGTGGAATATCGGATTTTGTCCTTTCTTTGTTTAAAAGCCATTGATGGCTGCTGTTTGCTGGACATGAAGCTCCAATGTTGTTTGCAGGATGTTCAGGGAGCCTCAGATCTGCCCCAGGCTCTCTCTCCAGCTTATTCATCTCTCCTTTCACCTTACCCTGGATTCCCCTCCCACCGCCAACCTCTGCACTCACATACCAGAGTCCTGCAGGCTGCTTCTCCAGGTCCATTTTCCTCACTGCTAAGCAGATACTTTTACAGTTTCCTGTCCTGTAAAATACACACCAACTCCCACCCCTGCCCAGTTTCTTAGCTTGGTAACAAACCTTCTCAGCCTTTAAGCTGTTACTAAATGGTATAAATTTAGTAGTGCCTGCTTCAGCTCCATAGCCAGAATCATCCATACCCTTGTTGGGGGCCTCTGGGGGTAATCTGACCTATTGTGAGATTATGAGGGCTGTCTCCATTTTTCCATTTTCTATTTATTGAGAACAGGATTCTCATCACATTTTTTTAGCACAGCCCCAAATACAGCCGTCGTAGGCGCTCTGTGAATGGATGTGGAATCAAAGAAACTTCAGAGACATAAAGAAAATTCTCCTTTTTATTTTCTGCAACCCTAATTATTGCTGGTCTTAACCTTGCAGGATAATTCAGCCCCCTATGGTGCCCGGTATGTGGGCTCCATGGTAGCTGATGTTCACCGCACTCTGGTCTACGGAGGGATATTTCTGTACCCTGCTAACAAGAAGAGCCCCAACGGAAAGGTAAGTGTGTCCCCTGGACAGGAAGTGAGGAGCAGATTTCACTTGCAACCCATGCGATTTGGTTTAGGAAGAAGAAAGGTTTTGCTCGCGGTTATGCTCCATGGTAGGTCGCTAAGGGTGTCTGTAATATATTCTTGTATGGATTAAAGATAAAGCCAGATAATATCAACTAAAGATAAAAATAGTCTTGAGAGCCCTTCCAGTGCTGTGGCAAAAGGGAATCAATGGTCAGGATGGACTAAAAGTCCTTAGGGCTTCCAGTGGGTACATGGCTTGGCTTAGGCAAAATGAATTCCATTCATAAAGTGAAAGGAAACAACCCAGCCTCACTTCCAAGGCAGCAAATCAAATTTGTATTCCCAATAGAAGTCTTTGATTGTTTTCAAAAGGTGTAAAACAGAGGTAACTAGTGAGTAAACATCTCCAACTTGGAGAATGTTACCTTTTAGGGGAGGAAAGACTCTCTGGGGAAACCTAGGGCTTTCAGGTGAGCCATCACCACTGACCCACTAGTCCAAGCCCACGGTGTTCTTGGCAGGCTGTAGGGTGGCTGTGCTCCCCCATGCTGGCTTCAGAGCTGCCCTGGCTTTCCTTCTGCCAGGGTGACAGTGCGCTTCCTTCCCAAGTATTGCATCCTCCTTATGTTTTCCCAGTGGACAGATGGCTTTTTTTTTTTTTTTTGACAGAGTCTTACGCTGTTACCCAGGCTGGAGTGCAGTGGCACGATCTCAGTTCACTGCAACCCCCACCTCCCAGGTTCAAGTGATTCTTCTGCCTCAGCCTCCCAAGTAGCTGGGATTACAGGCATGAGCCACCATTCCCGGCTAATTTTTGTATTTTTAGTAGAGACAGGGTTTCACCATGTTAGCCAGTATGGTTTTGAACTCCTGTCCTTGTGATCTGCCCACCTCGTCCTCCCAAAGTGCTGGTATTACAGGTGTGAGCCACCATGCCCAGCTGCCTTTTTCTTTTTCTTTTTTTAATGCAAGAGAGCAGGAACAACAATCCCCTTAAACTCATTGGAAACCTGTGCACTTGGATGTATTTGGGTCTGTCTGCAGCATGTGGCATCTGGAGTGAAGGTGTTTCTATTTACTGAAAACATTACCCAGCTGTAGCTGCCTCGGGCGTCTCAACCTGTGTGGTTAGCCTGCTTTCCAGAACTTTTCTCTAAAGCCCCCCAGATTGTTCCTGAACACAAATATTGAGGCTCCTGTTTTTTTCTTTCAGTTTTGCAAAAGTAGCCATGACACCTATGTGGAAATAGAGTCGGGAAACACCTGCAGAAAGCTGTGGCTCAGTAGGCAGACTGCATGGAAAGGCATGCGATACAGAAGTTAATATGCAAAAGTCTATGCCAAGATATAGAATACACTGAATTTCAACCCACGAGCCTTCAGAGAATCGTAAAAGGAATGCATGCCGAGTTGCAAACAGTATCACACTGTTTGGAGGAGCCAGTCTGCTTTCCAGATGTCTGTAGCCAGACACCACCGTGGATTTATTTAATGCATTTAGAATAGGCGAAGCTCCATCCAACACACAGAGTCACTCATTAAGTCCAGTTTCCATGCTATAAAGAGAAGGCGGCCGGGAGCAGTGGCTCAAGCCTGTAATCCCAGCACTTTGGGAGGCTGAGGCGGGTGGATCACGAGGTCAAGAGATCGAGACCATCCTGGTCAACATGGTGAAACCCCATCTCTACTAAAAATGCAAAAAAAAAAATTAGCCGGGCATGGTGGCGCGTGCCTGTAATCCCAGCTACTCAGGAGGCTGAGGCAGGAGAATGGCCTGAACCCAGGAGGCGGAGGTTTCGGTGAGCCGAGGTCACGCCATTGCACTCTAGCCTGGGTAACAAGAGCGAAACTCCGTCTCAAAAAAAAAAAAAAAAAAAAAAAAGAGAAGGCAATGCTCGCTTCTGCCAAAATGTCGTTCTGTCCAGTATGCAGGTGGTCTGTCTCACATTTGCATCAGGTAATCTATCGCTTGTCCTGGCTTGACAAATGGTTGAATTTAACCAAATGGTTAACTGTTTGGTCTCAGATGTGACCTGAGGTAGCAGGGAGCTTTTACAGCTTCACAGGAAGGAAAAAGAGAGCATCTGTTCCCTTGGAAGCTGCCACCAGCTCTTCACGTTTTGCTGCAGAAAAATCTCTTATTTATGCAATACCTTCTGGTATAAGGTATACCTTCTGCTCTCTCGTCTTGTTTTCCAGCTGAGACTGCTGTATGAATGCAACCCCATGGCCTACGTCATGGAGAAGGCTGGGGGAATGGCCACCACCGGGAAGAAAGCCGTGTTAGACATCATTCCCACAGACATCCACCAGAGGGCGCCGATAGTCTTGGGGTCTCCCGACGACGTGCTCGAGTTCCTGGAGGTGTGTGAGAAGCACTCTGCCCAGTGAACACCTGCCCTGCTCGCGTCCCAGAGAATGGCCTCTACCTGGACCGTTTGTCTCACACAGCAGCGCCCCGACCTGCTGTGCACCTTACATTCCTAGATAGCAGAAATAAAAAGCATGGCTATTTTCACCATTAGATGCTGTAGAATGCTTGGCACTCCCTCACCAAAATACTGTCTCCATAACGCCACTGGTGGCAAGATATATTTTGAGTGGATGGAGGAGAAATAAACTTATTCTTCCTTTTAAAGAAAGTCTTCATTACTTTGTGTCAAATGATGATGACAATGACTGCTGATGTGTATACAATTAGATCACTCATTTAGCCTTCACAACAACCCAGTGAATCAGAAACTCTGAACAATCCATTTTATAGATGATGAAATGGATGAGGAAAGGTGAGGAAATTGGCTCAAGGCCGGCCAGTGAGTGGCAGAGTGGGGACTTGAATGCAGGCAGTCTAGCCACTGTGAGCCAGCATACGGCTTCCCCTGCATGTTGTCCCATTCAGGCCTGGCCCATTGTTCCTCAGCCTTGTTCTGGATTGCAGCTGAGGAACAATGTATCCTGAACATGGTGGCTCATGCCCTCCTAGAAATGGGGGAGCTAATGGCTTACTGGTGGTACCTGTGTGTGACCCCCTGGCTCCCAAGCACGGATATAACCACCGGAGTAGCAAATGAAGGTTTACTTGTTACCAAGTGACGATTTTTCTATAAAAGCACAGCACTTTACTCAGCTCACAAAGCCTAATACTCCCTACTGTCTGGTTACCATAGATAAAGGATTCACTACAAGGACAGGGTTTAAGGAAATGCAGTTTGTTGCAAGCAAGCAGGCTTCCCTCCACTGACCCTTGTCTTACTGGACCAGAGTATAAGATTGTGGCAAGCTCTCTCAGGTGCTAGGTAACACCTAAGTGGCCCTCCTTGAGTGCTAGATTTAAAATAGATTTATCCATATAATTCCACTTGGGAATTAAAAACAGGTGTCTGTGTCAATCCTGCTTCTTCCGCTCCAAACACTCCCCATTCACTCCACATTCTCCCAGCAGGAAACTGATTTTCAGCACCGGATTGCCTTCTGTCCACTGACCACACCCAATGCCAGTATTTCCCCACTCCAGCTGGGGCTGCCCTCTGGAAGGTCCCCTGATGCACAAAGCACCTTTTGAGTTTTAAACTTCTTGTAATTCAGTGGGCATCTGGTTCTCAAAGCATGAAGGGAGAGACCTGTAGTCTGGGAGCCTTTTCCTGCCTTTTTTTTTTTTTTTTTTGAGATGGAGTCTCTCTCTGTCCTCCAGCTTGGAATGCATAGAAATGGTTTCTCCCTCCACTGACCATGGCAGGCTAGCAATAGCAGTGGCCTGATCTTGGTTCACTGCAACCTCTACCTCCTAGGTGCAAGCAATTCTCCTGCCCCCGCCTCCTGAGTAGCTGAGATTACAGGCATGCACCACCACGCCTGGCTCATTTTTGTATTTTTAGTAGAGATGGGGTTTCACCATGTTGAACAGGCTGGTCTTGAACTCCCGACCTCAAGTGATCCGCCCGCCTCAGCCTACCAAAGTGCTGGGATTACAGGCATGAGCCAACCCACCTGACCCTTTTCTGCTATTGAGATGGCACCCCACACCCCAGTGCTGTTTCCCTACAGCATTAGAGGTTCCGTAGCCTCACTTCCCAGTTAGGATCATACTCTACCTGAAAGTCACATTCTAAGTCTTCTAAGCAAGTCTACAGAGGAGCTGCTCCACTATGGCATGCTTGCTGCTCAGTGCTTTGTCAAAGGTTAGGAAAGCGTTCGTCCAGCTTGACTGGAGGCATCTGACTCCCTGGTCTCGCCACCATGGCAGGCTAGCAATAGCACGTGCCACCGGGCATTTGATGGAACTCCCTGTGACCAGGAGGGAGGTCAAAGCTCACCTGAGCATCACTGGTTTCCACTGTGGCCTAGTCCCCATGTCCAGAAGTGGGAGGGGTTTCAAGATGCCTGTGGTGAGCTGAATGGTGTCCCCCCAAAAGACACGTTCATGTGCAAACCCTGGAACCTGTGAATGTGACCCCATTTAGAACGAGGGTCTTTGCAGATCTAACAAAAGTAAGAATTAAGATGAGATCAGTCTTGATTACTTACATTAGGGTGGGCCGTCCTCTGTTGCCATGCATCTTTGTGCAGATTCATCATGTGGAAGGAGCCTGGAGGAGCTGCCGCTCTGCCTGTGTGAGCCTGGGATGGGAGGGAGAAACAAACCTTTGCTGTCTTAAGCCATGGGAATTTCAGGTTTATTCGCTGCTGCACCATAATGTAGGCTATGCTGACTAGGCTTGGCCGAGCTTGGTAACATTTCCAACCTTTCTGAGTCTCCCTTTCTTCATTTGCAAAATGTTAATTGTAGTATCTATTGTAGTTAAGGTCATTTTCATTGTAGGTAGCAGACACTTATTTATTCTGGCTAAGGCAGAAAGGGAATTTGTTGGAAAGCTTCAGGGGACTCTCCTGAACCCCAGCGCCCACTGCTTTCCTAATCCCAAGGACACATCCTTCATCCCAGCATGGTCATCCAGTCCACTCTGTCTCCATGTCTCACAGCAAGTTCCCTGGCAGAGAAAACTGACCGTCTTAGCTTGTGTCCAGTTAGCTGCAGCCGTAGACCAGGGTCATATAAGACAAATGTGACCTCGGGTTTTCTTCTTATGGGCAGGGCACACTTCTCTCTAAGATGGGGATCATGGGTTGAGCAGATGTCCCAATGGGTCTGCAATGCTGGAAGCAGAAATGGTAAGGTTTCATGCAAGAGCATTTGCTGGGATCACTTGAGGAAGTGCATGCAAAGCATCCTAGCAGAGTTTTGCTAATAGAGAATGTGCCCTCAGCTAGTCCTCTAGAGTCAAAGCCAAGATCCTAGTCTTCAGGTGGAGGCCCCGCCTGTGAACTGCCCTAAGACTGCCTTACTGTTCAGAGACTCTGTCCTCACTCCTTCCGTGCAGGCCTGCGAGAACATTTCGCCAAGAAGAGCAAGCCCATAGATAGCTTTGGATGTATCAGTGACACTGAAAAAGCTGGGAGCTGGACCCTGCCCCCGCTTCCTCGGGGCCTTCCAGATGCCCCGTGTGTCTGGGCTGTTGTGTGCCCTGAAAGAACTTTGGCATTTGCTGAAAGGTCACCAGCTGCAATTTCAGACCACATAGGTAACTTGAACTTCTAACATTTAAACGTAGCTGAAAGAGGCATGACAGCTGCACAGGCGCCAGCCTGGGCAGGAGGGAGGCAGAAATAGCAGGCCCTCCCTTTGATCCCTTTGGGAGTGAGCTGACTTATAAATGACACTGTCCAATTTCCCTCCCTCCTGATCCCCAAATTATCCAGGCTTCTGCTCACCCTTGACATTCACAGTGCCGGGCAACCAGGGCCTCTCAAGAGATCCATGCAAAGCACTGGCTTACTTGTTTCACTTCCAATTTGTCATGAACAGATATGTTAATAAAACATGATAAAAAGAATTACAGGAGGGGCCAATAAACACACGCTCAACATCACTCATCATTAGGACGATGCAACTCTAAGCCACAATGAGAAAGCACTTCACACCCATGAGGATGGCTGCTATAAAAACAAACAAATAATAAACAACAAGTGCTGGTGATTGGGTGGGGACCCCGGGGCCCCTGCTCACCCTGGGTAATGTGAAATGGCGCAGCCACTGAGGAAAATGGTGCAGCAGTTCCTCCGGAAATTAGACATGGAATTGCCATGTGATCCCGCAGGTCCGATTCTGGACACATCCCCAAGAGAATCAAAAGCAGAGCCTTGAACAGATGTTTGCACACTGTGCTCATGGCAGCATTATCACACTAGCCTGGAGGTGGAGGCAGCCCACGTGGCCATGAGGAGGAATGGATAAACACGCTGTGGTGTGTCCATACCATGGAGCACTGCTGAGCCTCAGAGGAGGGGACTCTGACCCATGCCACAACATGCAGGGATGGTGAGGACATCATGCTGAGTGAAATGAGCCAGTTGCAGCAGGACAGGTAGTGTATGTTTCATTTCTATAAGGGACCTAGGGTAGCCAAATTCATAGAGATGGAGAGCAGAATGGCGGGTGCTAGGGACTAGAGGGGAAGGGGAGGTTCTTGTTTAATGGGTACAGAATTTCAATTTGCAAAATTTGAAATTGGGATGCTGACTATAATTGGGATCTAGAACTGTTCTATCATGTGAAACCCCCTTGTCCTGTCCCCTCCCTGTACCCCTATTCCTGTGGCAGCTACTGAGAGTTCTCTGTCCCCACATGTTTGCATTCTGGAGAGTCCCCTACGAATGCAATCAGACTGTAGATACTCGCTGGAGGCTTCTGCTGTCACTCAACACAGTGCCTTCGAGCCTCGCCTAAGTGCCCCACGTGGCACTAGTGTTTGTGTGTTGTTCAATAGTTTTCCACTGTGCAGCTCTCCCAGTGTGTTCATCCATTCAACGTTGAGCTTTTGGGTGTTTGCAGTTCCCCGTTTAACTGGAGCTGCTGTAAATACTTGTGTGTGTTTTTGTGTGCATATACATTCTCAGCATTGTTTTGCAACATCCCAGGGGAAACCCTCTTAATCAGATAACAATGTTAGCTTCAAAAGGAAGCCTGAAAACCAATCAACCAGGCCTCCTCTTCACCCTGAAGTCATTTACTGGCTCGGATCCAGCCACTCTCTTTCTGTAATTCTATCCGGGGACTTGTCTTGCACTCCCATGTGAAAGGCAAAGCTTATTTGTTAATGGCAACATGACGAGCTCGGATCAAGGTAAGTTCCATTCTGCTGTTTTCACAATTCCCAGAAGCTCTTGGGAAAGGAAAAGAGTTGCCATGTTTGATCCTCATGGTATCAAAATTAAAGTGGTCTTACCCAAAAGATGATAGCTCCTGTTATTAGCTTATTATTATTATTAAACTGATATTGAGTGTCAGGGGTGGACGGATTAATACAAAATGGCATCTTTATTTAGATGAGTCTTTCATTAAACAGGAACAAACAGTAAAATACACTGGACTGGCCCTTTCTCCAGCTTCCATTAGGGACGTTAGACTGATTATTATGTCTGCACTGTAGCACCTTCCAGAAGAAACATGAACTAGAAATGACAGCCATGTCTTTGCCTCACCCTTAGCAACTGACAGAAGTGAAGCTGTTGCAGAAGGCTCTCTTGCTGATAACGGTTTCCCAGTGTATTTCTCAACGTGACAGTATTGTTCTGAATGATGAACAATTCATTTGGATTTGGAAACACTTGGAAGCAGTGACAATGTGTGTTTTCAAAACTATGTGAAAATACAGTTAGGGATCATGAAGTCTCAATCCATTGTTTTTTAAATCAGAGCCTCGATGTCACCCAGGGTGCAGTGGAGTGGTGCCATCTTAGCTCATTGCAACCGCTGCCTCCCAGGTTCAAGTGATCCTCCCACCTCAGCCTCCTGAGTACCTGGGACCACAGGTGCATGCCACCACACTGGCTAATTTTTGTATTTTTTATAGAGACAGGATTTCTCTATGTTGGCCAGGCTGGTCTTGAACTCCTGGGCCCAAGCAATCCCCCTGCCTTGGCTTCCAAAGTGCTGGGATTACAGGGGTGAGCCATCATGCCTGGCAAAATCTTATTTCTAAATTGAGGCATCTGAGTCTCAGAGGGGCCACAAATGATATGTGCTAGTTTCACTGAGTGCCTGGGCTATGGCTGGGCCCTAAGCCTATATACCAGGGCTTTGATTCCTGGCCCAGCCTTCTTTCCTTTGGGTATAGATTTAGCAACACTCTGGTTTGACCCAGATAGACATTCTTGTTTTGTTATACCTAGTGATCTGTCTTGTTAAAACTTGATTCTAAACTCATGTCTTACTCTATGTTCTAATTGTGTTAACGGGCGTATGTGTGATGCTCAGTCATCTAGAGAGGAGGAGCATCCTAGAATGAGGGAAAGTATCACATAAGAGAATGAACATGGCCGGGTGCAGCGGCTCACGCCTGTAATCCCAGCACTTTGGAAGGCTGAGGTAGATGGATTGCCTGAGCTCAAGAGTTTAAGACCAGCCTGGGCAACATGGTGAAACCCTATGTCTACTAAAATACAAAAAATTAGCCGGGCACGGAGGTGTCTGCCTATGGTCCCAGTTACTCAGAAGACTGAGGCAGGAGAATTGCTTAAACCCAGGAGGTGGAGGTTACAGTGAACTGAGATCACGCCACTGCACTCTAGCCCGGGTGACAGAGTAAGATGCTATTTCAAAAAAAAAAAAAAAATCGAATGAACACTGGTCTCAGGTAGCCTTGGCTGAGATTCCAGCTAGTAGCTGTGTTATCCCTAGGGAGCCCTAGTTTCCTCATCTGTAAAAACAGCACTACTGAATCAAATAATTGAATAAATTATGTGTGTCACACACTGGAATAGAGGCGGCCGTCTCTCTCCATTCATCATGAATGAAAATCACAAAAAGGGGGATGGAATCCTATATTTGTTTTATTAGGAGGTAGCATATTCTCTGGTAAATAAAAATAGACCACCCCTGAACAAATCAGAAAGCAGTCACATAGCATTTTCTTTTGTGGGGTTTATCACAGCGAAGCACCTGCCCAAATGTAAGGTGCTTATTGTAGCATTATTTGAAGAGCAAATTTGTAGCAAGCCTCTGTGTGCTGACTTGGACATCTTCCCATAACATTTGCTTTCTGGATCTAAAAAAGATGAATTACATATCTATATTTGAGATCTTAAACCTGCATATTACGATCTACTGGTAGATCTGAGTTTTATCTGAAAGTTCCCACATAAATTACGAGCACCAAACTGGTAGATCTGAGTTTTATCTGAAAGTTCCCACATAAATTACGAGCACCAATGCCCATCTCAGCCACTTGGTTGCCCTTTTCAACCAGCTCCTGCTGCAGGCATCACCAGCGACCCCGATCTGGCTGACGCTGCACACAGGGACGTCTACGTGGGTGGGAGGATGGGGTCCAGGGAAATTGTTCTTTCCTGATAAAAGGGAACTGATGGACGGGCGTGGTGGCTCAAGCCTGTAATCCCAGCACTTTGGGAGGCCGAGGCGAGTGGATCACAAGGTCAAGAGATCGAGACCATCCTGGTCAACATGGTGAAACCCCGTCTCTACTAAAAATGCAAAAAATTAGCTGGACATGGTGGTGCGTGCCTGTAATCCCAGCTACTCAGGAGGCTGAGGCAGGAGAATTGCCTGAACCCAGGAGGTTCCAGCAATTCTTGGTGAGCCGAGGTCGCGCCATTGCACTCCAGCCTGGGTAACAAGAGCGAAACTCCGTCTCAAAAAAAAAAAAGGGGGGGAACTGATGTGGTCGGAGCTGCTCTTGCTCCCTTCTTTGCATCTTCAACGTGGGCTAGATGTTCAGAACTGCAGTGACATTTTGTGCCCACAGGATGCCAAGCAAGGGGCACAATCTGACAGACCAAGAATGGCAGAGACGAGGCAGACAGGGGTCCCGGCAGAGCCACGAACAGCTGAATGCACGCCAGCCACCACCACCTAGTGCACTCGTGGTCTATGAGGAAATAATAGACCACGGGTGTTCTGTGACTTGCTCTGGGTGTTCTGTGACTTGTAGCTGAAGGCATTCTAATTGACATAACTGTCAGGGGAAAAAACCTTCAGAGAAATGTGCATGTTCTACTGTTGTGTGAAATGAGATTATGTGTGATTGCACAATAGCTGCGTGCATATTGAAAGACTGGAAGGGTAATAATAGGTAACAAAGTATCGAGCAGGGACTACACTAGGCACATCTCATTGCAGTCACTCTATGAGGCGGATGCTTTATGGTTATCCTCATTTATGAGTGAGACAGCTGAGGTTCCAAGGGGTTTAACAACTCTCCCAAATCATGCAACCAACAGATAGCTAGCTTGGGACGCAGAGCCAGGTGTGCCTGGCCCTAGAGAAAGTGCTTCCATCACCATATGCACTCCTACCAGAGCCTCCCGGAGGCACAGACTGCCACCAGCCCTAGCAG